TGGTAAAGTGATTTGCTCACGCTATCAGCGTGCCCGGCACTATCGCGATTTTTAGCACGCTTATGTATACTGAATTTGATTGCGCGGCTCTGCTAGCTATGTTCTAAATTATGATGAAGTTTTGCTTAGGGCATAAATCAAGCAGATACATACCAACTTACATAAATGCTTCCATGAGAAAAACAAATGTGTAACATGTGTAATCAGACGCTGTTTTTTTGGTTTTCTCGATTCATCTTGATGCACTCTGTAATTGATCACCATATGAACAGAAGGTATTAAAAAAGTGGCCAATGATCTAAAAAATGGTATGCTAGGTGCTTTACACTTAATTGTTGACAAGGGGTCAGAAGAGCAGGCTATACAAAACTATTTATGATGTCAGTGAGTATTCCAATAATCCCTGTGTAAACAGTGGTACTTGTACTGACTGAGTGAATAATAAGAGAATATTGACCGGCAATAGAGCATTTTGATTGGTTGATTTTAGTTATTGGCCCTCTGACTGCCCGAGTCGCGTACTAAGTATGCTTATGTTTGCCAGCCTGGATTCAAAGGGCTCTGTTGTGAAGTGAGAATAATAATAATAATAATAATAATAATAATAATAATAATAATAATAACGAATTTTTATACAGGATTGAAAACCCATCAGTGTGTAACACTGTTGTCCTTGGGGTCCTGTCAAAATAATAAATAAATAAATAAAATAAAACTTAACAAGATATAATCATTGATCTTAAGGTCTAGAAAAGCATACAATAAAATAAAATGCTCTGAAAAAGGATACCTATAACCACGTTTAGATCGAATTTTTTAACTAAAATAATCTCGCAATTTGTTCTTAAATTTCAGTCTCGAATCTAACGACCTTAGTTCAGCAGGCAGGTTGTTGAAAGTCTTTGTGATCAGTCGAATATTCGACTGAACTCGCATTTAATACATTTTACATGCACTTAATTCGGCAATTAGATTCGGCGCATGTAAAATGCGATGTTTAAACCGGGCCTAAGGCTATTTTGCGAAACGAAATGAAACGAAACAAAACCAGGCGAAATGTAATGAAACTAAAAGAATAATGCAGATATATTTTATAAGTAGGTAGAGATAACTTTCACAAGGATTTTGGAGCAACCGTCAAATGATAGGAAGGATTTTTATTCATCTCGTAAAGTAGTAATATAAGAAGAGTTACTATTTTGCGAAATCGACTATTTTCACCCCGCGGTGACAACGTGACCACTTTGTGTCACATAACTATATTTAATTATTAAAAATTAGTATATCACCAAAGATTTTAGCCTCTTCTTATTTCTTAAACCGTACTAAGATAAATTTTGCAAAATAGTAATTTTAGGAGAGATGCCATTTTACGAAATGGACCATTTTCACCCTTTAATAACAATGTCTCTCTTTTTCGGTCACAAAAATAAGTTGAAACATTACATTATACTATATTCCCGAAGGCGTTGGTCACCCTTTCTTTAACTATCCATATAAAATTAATTTCGCAAAGTAGTGATGTCCAAAAAATTACTATTCTGCGAAATGGACCATTTTCACTCAGCAGCCGGTAACGATGTTGCCATTCTCGTGTCACACAATAGGTGCAAGTTCTTGCGCATTGAGGGCGTTTGAGGGCCATAGGCGATAATAGACTAGCATCAGAGCTGCAATATTCTAGGGGGGTCGGGCGTGTTCCCCGGAGAGACTTTGAAGGACTGTATTTCGTGCGTTTTGAAGGATGTGCACTGTTTTAGTACAAAACTAAGTACAAAACCAAACATGAGTTGTGCAACCGGTGACAGTTTTTCCAGTGACGGCTAGACATATCTAGACTCTCCGTCTCGTGTGGAGAACGGTTGAAAAGTCATGCCGAAATAGTTATCCAGCGAAATAGTGTCTCTTCAAAACTTACTATTTTGCGAAATGTATTTTAGTATACATTAAGAAATAGGAGGACGCCAAAATCTTAGTAAGTTAAATTAAAACCTACCGAAAACCTATCGTGTGGCACGAGAACGGCAACATCGTGACCGCCCGCTGAGTGAAAATGGTCCATTTCGCAAAATAGTAATGTTTTGGACTTTGCTGCTTTGCGAAATTAATTTTATATGATGGATAGTGAAAGAGGGGGTGACCAACATCCTCGGGAATATACAATCACACGGTGTAATGTTTCAACGTATTTTTGTGACCCGAAAAAGAGAGACATTGTTATTGAAGGGTGAAAATGGTCCATTTCGCAATATAGTATCTCTCCCAAAATTACTATTTTTGCGAAATTTACTTCAATACTGTTAGAGAAATAAGAGGAGGCCAAAATCTTTGGTGATATACTAATTTGTAATGTTGAGATGTAGTTATGTTACACGAAAGTGGTCACGTTGTCAGCGCAGGGTGAAAATAGTCGATTTCGCAAAGTAGTAACTTCTTATATCACTACTTTGCAAAATGAATAAAAATCCTTCCTATCAATTGACGATTATTCCAAAACCCT